TCAGCTCTGAACCTCTAACTGTGGAGCTGCAAGCGAACGTGCTGCTGGCCATCATGTACACAAAGTGACATTTGAGCTGTGACAGTGTCGTTGATTTCTGAGGAGAGAGGAGTTTTTGATCGAGGTGAAACCAGCAGGTTTATTCTTGTAAACACATGAACATACTTTATATTTTTTAAAGGAGGAGGAGGTGTTGTGTTTGTGCTTTTCTGGTCTGAAAATCTGCAGCCTCGTGTGTTTCCTGTGACACCTGCTGCCTTCGACCTCACGCTGACTGAACAAACACACATCAGATAAAGAACTAGTCTCCTGCGTGTGTGTGTGTGTGTGTGTGTGTGTGTGTGTGTGTGTGTGTGTGTGTGTGTGTGTGTGTGTGTGTGTGTGTGTGTGTGTGTGTGTGTGTGTGTGTGTGTGTGTGTCACGTCACGCCCTCCTCTGTACACCTGGAGCTGTGATCACACACCCTCTGTTCTCTGCTCCGTCAGCGTTTGTGTGTTTGTGCCAGCGCGCTATCACTGCAGGCCGACAGCGATGTGTCGTACCAGGAGCCTCGAGCAGATCAAACCTTGAGGATGTCAAATACATACCCAGTGATTATCGATCTTTTTACAAACTCTAGAGCAGGGGTCTCCAACTTTTCTTCATCTGAGAGCTACTTTGAAAAAATGAAAGTGGCCAAGAGCTACTTGCATCAAAGCGCTTGCATTTATTTACACAGCACGCATCAGATGAATTAAGCTACTGTGTTTGTTCATGTGTGAAATTGCAATAAGCCAATGCTTATCAATAATCTTAAATTCTCATCAAGGTCCAAGAAAAAAACATGAATATTTGACACTTCTTATTGTGCCACATAGTAAGCTATGTTACTGAAAATTCACATCAATGTCCAAGAAAATATTACTACTATACACTTGTTTTTATGGGCCAAATATATGAATAGTGGGAAGAGGTGCATTAACTGTCGTCAGACGTCTTTTTTTTTTTCTTTAACACAGCCTTTTTTAACACAGGCGAGCTACTTAAAACCTGCCCGCGAGCTACCTGTTGGAGACCCCTACTCTAGAGGACTGTGTGACATGTTTTTCTGAGTCTTATTTGGGTCTTTGCAGGAGCATGGATTTTCTTATGGACCGTCCTCTTAAATTGAGGAAGAGAAAGTCAGCATAACCTCCCTGATGCCTCAGAATAATGTAACTGAATCCTTTTAGTGTAACTAAACCTCCATTTAGACCTAAAGGTTGCTGTGTGTTTCAAAGAGGAGGTCATACTATGTCAGAGCATGTCTAAAAGTAATCATAGCTGCTGTGAACAGTCAAAGTCAAAGCTTGTCTTACTCCCACTGTCTGCCTGATCTGCTGAACATCTCTGTGTTTGTGAGTCTTCGTTGAATCAAACAGATGGATTTACCTCTTGATACAAACTGAAACCTTCAGCTCTGGTTTAAGATCAGCTGACACACACAGTCAACAAAAATAAGGAAAACTACACCCAAAGAAACAATGTGCAGAATGTTTTTATTAACTGACGTGTCTTGTCATGTTTTAACTTTAACAATCACAAGAAAAGATCCTAAACACCAACATGGAAGCCATCTGGAAACTCTCTTTCTTATGTCTATGAAACAATGACCCGTACGTTATACGTCAAACTGGACCTCTACTCCCTTATGTCACATGTCCGACATCTTTGGCTTCTCCAGAAGCGTGCAAACAACAAGTGACCTCTCCTTTCTGAGCTTGATTTGCTTTTCGTTTGGTGCCTGTTTAGACGTGATGTTGATGAAGTGATGGGAAATAGGACCCTGAGTCTGTATACACCTGTACTGTGTTTTATTTTGTAATGGAGCGGATGCTCTGTGCGTTCCCTTGTCCATCTCTTCTGTTCAGCTTGACACTTACTTGCAGGCAGCGAGCTCCGTCGAAAATGGACTCGATGCATATTTGTAGTGAGCAGAGCAGAGCGGATTGAACGCTGCTGGTACGTGCTGGAGACGGACGCATTCATGAGCACTGACTAGAGAGGGTGCAATCGGCTCCGGAGTGCACATTGCGGATGGAGTGCGACGCACACAAAACATGTATATGGCAAAATTTTGGCCTTTGTTCCTTGCCAATACTTATATTGTTGCAGATTTTAAATAACGACGCAGACGCAAAGCTGTGATGTCAGTTTAGAAAGCGCATTGCCCAGCTTGTAATAAATGTCACAGGGACAGATCAGCATTAAGACAACAAATGCAATAGAAGTGTGAAACCGTAATGGTCGAAGGACAAGTCTGCAGGTTTATAAGACATCCAGGTGACCCAGTTAATAATGTGTTTCTCTCGGACTGTGCCAAACCTGAAGAAAGAACAAGCCCAGGGTTCATTTTTTAAATTGAAGGACCACTTGAGAGGACAAGCCAGTGTGAAGTGGATCTGAGTGTGAGAAGTGATATCTGAGTGAGTGCTGACTCTTAAACTAAAAGGCCAGGAGGGAACATCTGTGCTGAAGACATCATTTATTTACCATGTAAATAACATTTTTACACAACAAACGCATTTGAAACGCGGCCCTGCTTTTGATTCCCTCAGAATAAGGAGGTTATGGTTTCTGTACTTTCACTTTCAACAGAGTTTTTACACATTGGCTTCTGATTAAACTTAGTGACATGACTTCATCAGCCACTTCTTACAGGTTGATAAGTTCTTTCAATACAAACAGCAGGAGAGAAGTGAGCTTTGAAAAACTGCCTGTGGAGAGAAAATTACTCCTTTATTACTCCTCTGTCAAAGTCTCAGGGAGTTTCCACAGAGTTTAATTTATTTAAGTTAATGATTTGTTAAAAAAAAAGGTCTTGATTGACAGCTCTGCTCTGACACATGATGCTCTTTGCAGCGTTCTCTGCAGGATTAGCGGAGTGGAGGAGGAAAGGGAAGAGGAAACGTTACGACAACTAACAATACAGTCGCTGAATTTTCCATAATCATGAAGGAGGGGTAGGGGGTCTTAAGAGGCAAGACAGGACGTGAAAAAAGAGCTGAAAAAAGCTGCAGGTATCTCATGATGTTGGACGAAGCTACAGAGTCTGACGCTATGATGGCAATTTCCGCCTTTATATCAAAGCTTTGTGTAACTGAACGTATTTATGAATGACAGATTGGAAAAGGAAATATACTGATGAGCAGGAAAGAGTTTGGAGCAGCTTCATTACATTCAGGATGTAAACTCATCCTCCCCTTCCACTCGCCCGCTGACAAGATCTTCAGAACCATCAAAACATCTGGACTTTGGTGAGGATATTCAGAAGGGGAAGAACCAGTCCGATTCTCAAGGTCACGTCAACACGATTTTGTGAATATTTTATATTTCCTGAGTTAATGTATCACAGTACCTTACTGTATTTGTTCGTGTTTTTTGTGTTGGTACGACAGAAACTGGAGATCCTTCTCTTTGTTTTTTATCACATGTTGATGGAAATGGTTCCTTTAAATTCCTCCTTAGTTTGACTCGGTTGTTGTTGCTGTGGTAACAACAATCTGAATGTTGTTGTGTTGCAGCTCATGCAGCCGCCCACCTTCTCTGCTGTGACAAAGTGTGTGTGTGTGCGTGTGCGTGTGCGTGTGTGTGTGTGTGTTTGTGAGGTGTGCGTGTGCGTGTGCGTGTGCGTGCGTGTGTTTGTGAGGTGTGCGTGTGCGTGTGTGTGTGTGAAGGCGTTGGAATGTAAATGTGAGTAGTCAGCTCTCATACGGATAGAACAGCCTGCAGCAAATAAGAGCTGCTGGTGTGAGGGATGATGGGAAACGGAGTCTGGAGTCTGAAACACCGGGCAGACGAGCTGCAGCTAGTTGTTACATTAGGAGGCTGAGGATCACAGCAGGAGGTCAGCGTTGCTGTTGGCACAGAGTGAAAGTGAGATACAGAGACAGGAAGTAATTCTGCAGCTCAGAGATACAGTGACATCATACTGGGATGTCATGTGATGGAGGAGCCTCTCTTTTTGTGCTTCTTTAATGATGGACGGATGTTGTTATCTTGAACATGCATGATCATAATCAGCTCCAAGGTTTTCTGAAAGAGGCCCTCAAGCTGCTACGGGGAATAATAATCAAAGTTATAACACACAGATGATTTATTCTCATAATTAAAGTTTTTTTATTTCACAGACAAGTTGAGATTGTTGTTCCTAAGGTCTAGTCCACACGTAGGCGGGTATTTTTTAAATAGAGGTTTTCCTCCTCCGTTTCAGAAAAGAATCCCGTCCACTCAGTTCTCAAGCAAATCTTCGACCACATGAAACGCACTGTTAAGCCTGTCATGAGCACGCCAAGTCCAAAACGATTTCCTTGATGTCTAAACGACCATTTCATTTTACAAAGTTGTTCATTCAGGCGTCTCTGCTCGTCAACATGGTGGGAGAGTAACTGTGTGAGCATGTAAAAAGTCGTTTGTCGCTCGTTTGGTTACGTCTGCCATCGACGTCACACGGAGGAGAAACCGGCATGACAGCGTGACGTTACAAGAACAAAACTCTACCTGTGCACACAGAAACAACTTAAACAGAGTTTCTTCACCCTGGAAGGAGTTTCAAAAAGGCACCAGTGAGTGTGTTTACATGGACTTGATTATCCTGGTTGTGATCACATTCATGTTGTTAACATGCAGCACACAGAGAAACCGGGTTATTCATATAGAAGCAGACAGAAAAAGGACCCAACAAGAAAAGGGCAGAGTTTATTAAACCGTCCAGGTCGGCTCTCAAGTAATACAGAAATACAGAAGCAAACAAATGAAAATGAGGGGCAGGCAAGAGCCAATCAAAACCTAGATTCTCTGGGGACCAAAAGACTAGTGGTTAGTGGGCTTACCCCATATACAGAGCCTATAGTTTATCAAGCTGGCCCCTCCGGGTTCTAATCCAACCTGTGGCTCCTTTTTTTAAATGTCATTCCCCACTCTCTCTCTTCCCCCTTCTTTTCTGACTCTATCCACTGTCCTGTCTCTCCCCAGCTGTTGCCATGACGACAGACGAGGCAGAGAGTCACCAGAAGAAGCCGAGGCAGCAGGAGGAAGCCGTCAGGAAGCCCGGCCGCCCTCGCCGGAGGAGGGCGAGCAGCTCCGGCCTCGAAACCGCAACTCTGCCGGCCGCGGCCTCTCCCGCCTCTTCTCGTCCTTCCTGAAGAGGCGCTCGCAGTGCGACAGCGAGGGGGGAGAGAGGGAGAGCAAGGAGGGGGAGGAAGAAGCTAAAGCCCCCATCGCCGACCCGAACCAGAGCTCAGGACAGAGGGAGAGGTGGCCCCGGATCAGCACTCAGTGAGCAGCGCTGAGGCTCAGGTCAGTCTGCTGGCGGCCTTAAGATGTGTTTAACGTGCAGATAATAAGAATATATCATATATTACATCGATACGTAACGTAGATATATTTAACATAGATCTGTTATGATAGTGTAGAGAGAAAGAGCAGAGCAGTATGTTGAACCTGTCTTTCATCATGGCCGCTTTAGTGATCGTCTCAGACAGGAGGGAGGCTTTCAATCCAATTTCATCAGGTCACCTCATCAGAGGACGAGCTCTAAATGACTGCGGGATGATTTGGGACTCTACTTTAATTTCTATGTCTCGTGCAAATTAAATTAAAATCGGGAGGGATAAAACAAGTGTTTTTTTTTAGCCTCTTCTCCCCTGGTCCCATGGCGAGGTGAACAATATTAGTGAATAGACTGATCTGATCTGAGAGGTACAGAGGAGAGGTGCCGGAGAGTTATAAGGGGAAGAAGGGAGAGAAGGACAAAAAAATGTTACATTGATAGATTGTTGCATCCGTGTAAATTCCGTGGACCAAAATTTTATGGCATAAATTTGTTTTCTACTCATTTGACAGACAGCTCAGGTAGACTTCGGATACATCCTGAGTCAGGGCGCACTCACACTAGGCCCAGTTCCCCTGTCCCCCTGCTGGTCTGTACTCACACTGCTCCAGGCCAAACCGGGCCTGGAGCACAGTTACCTCATCACTAAGGTGTCAGGCTGCAAGAGAGACTATAAGAACAAACACAATCTTCAGTCATCATTTTGACATATAAGGTGGCTTTATTGATGAACAACTTAAACTCTTGCACTGAGTTACATCCTGGATTTCTCGATTATACGCCATGTCCACGTTGTGTTCCTGTGCTTGTGCTCTTGCATGAACTGTACCGTGCTGAAGCACACCTCTTCCAAGTGTGCCAGGGCCAAGGAAGTGTACCACGCTTGAGAACAGATCTGAGCACTCACACTAGTCAAACACACTGGACTTTAAGCGTCAAACATTTCTTGAGCATGGTACTGATTGCCTGGTGCGGGTGCTCCCTTAGTCTCAGCTGCAGCACCTGTTGCATCATGAATGTTCTCAAAGATACAACATGTTCCTTATTTGACCTTTAGGCACACTTGTACTCTTGCTACACTTTGCTTGAAAATTGACTGACATCTTTATAAATATATAACAGATCAGAACAGATGAATCCAGTTTAACGCTGTCATGTAACCAAAGTGTCTGTGTGTCAGGCTGTTCAGGTAGAGAAGAAGGAGGCGGGGGAGGAGGAGGCGGCGGAGGTGGAGGTGGAGGAGGGAAAAGACACAGAGAAGGACAAGGAGAAAGAAGAGGAGGCCACCCTGGAGAAGGAGAAGGAGGACAAGGAGAAGGAGGAGGAGGAGGAGAAGAAGAAGGAGGAGGGGGGGGGAGGAGGGGGGTCCTGAAGGAGGCAGTAAAGGAGAGAAGGAGGAGAAGGTGATGGAGGAGGAGGCCAAAGCTCCCCGAGCTCCACGCCGGCCGAAGACGATGCAGATCAAAGTGACGCTGCTGGACGACGCTCAGTTTGAGTGTGAGCTGGACGTGAGTATTTCAAATATTTCTGTCATTAACAGGTTATATAGTGACCGATGTTACATAGAGTTTATTTATTTAGTTTCCAGTGTTGCTCTTTTTAATTTGACGCAGCAGTGGGTGGCAGTTACAGTGATTAACACATCTACTGTATTTGGCCAGTGTCGCTCAACCAGGAAGTAGATGAACCAGCATGATTTGACATCCATTTTTAACGAACGCTGAAAGGCGTTGACAGACGACCAGACACATTGTCTGCATTATCCTATTTATTTATGTTCACCATGTTTAAGTCGACTCTCTTCTCTCGATGTGTGAAACCTCTGTTCACTTCCTCTCAGCACCTGTGCTCTGCCTCTGGTCACTTCCTGTCACCACCTGTGTGTCTGATCAGACAAGCTGTCCGTTAGCATTAAATGGTGTTGATTCTTCCTCTCTAGATCCTCGCTTGGGTTGCACTTAATCTCTGATGTTTGTCACTTTGGTTAAAAACGTCTGATAAATGAGTAGTAAACTGCTACTAATGTAAATAAAAAGGTCCTGAAATAGAAATGAATTCAAGGGCAATAAGTCACAGAAACAAAACTACGCTGAGGAGAAAGGTCATGGTGTTACAGACAGTAACACATATCAAATACCGGTACATAAAAAAAAAAAAAACATGCAAAACATCAAGCCCTAAGTCTATCCATCCCAAATGTTTCGAACTTCACTGAATCATTTCCCACAGTGCCGATCTCCATGACGACCTGATCTGGTTCCTGATGGACCGTCACCAAATCTGAAGGTTATCCGTTAGAGCTCAAAAGACAGAATACTTGTGTTGTCTGAGGTGATAAATGTGGTTTATGGGTCGTGTTTTGTCAGAGAGAGAGTGTGATCACAGTCTGCTGTGCTGAGTGCGTGTTTCAGTGTGAAGCTGACAGATGTTAAAGCGTCCGGTGGGATCCTCCTCCGAGACTCTCTCACCATCTGCTCCTCTGATCAGCACGTTAATAAAACACAGCACACCGTTCTGTTACATCAGCAGGTCAAAGGTTTAACGCTCCCTCTGTGTGTGTGTGTGTGTGCCAGAAACACGCCAAAGGTCAGGAGCTGTTCATGAAGGTGTGTGACCACCTCAACCTGCTGGAGAAGGATTACTACGGTCTGGCCATCTGGGAGACGCCCACCATGAAGGTCAGCTGGCTCTAAACTAAGAGTCAGATCAGTAACATATCGTTATTTTTTACACATTAAAATAATAATTCTTTATTCTCTCAGATCTGGATGGACCTGGCCAAAGAGATCCGCAGGCAGGTACAAGGTGAGCCGAGCGTTATCTTTAAATCCTTCCGTCCGTTTTTTTGCAAAATATGTTTATTAGTTATCTAATGAAACCCTGTTTTGTCTTTCTCCAGGTGCCAACTATAATTTCACCTTCAATGTGAAGTTTTATCCTCCCGACCCGGCCCAGCTCTCTGAGGACATCACAAGGTAATAAACAATATTTGATCTTTTTATTTTAATTTATTTTGTCTAAAAGTCGCTCTAAGCAGTTTGAGTGACGCTCATATGACATAACTCTATCATGCATGTATGAGGAGTACACATAACAGAATAAAAAATGTGCTCTTAATTATAAAACAGAAGTTAATACACTCTCCTTCTACTTCTGATGACTTCGCCTGTCAGGGTTGCTGTGTGTTAAGCAGCTGAGATTGGACCCACATGCAGACTGAAGAACCCTTAAAGTAGATCTAAACTGCAGATCCATATTTAAACACAGACAAATAATGTTTGGATGTTGATGTCCAGACTAAACACAACATACACAGTTGTTGGGTTAATACCTGGACGTGGTTTCTTCCCAGAGACTTGGCCAGAACCTGACATCAACTAAACAAAGAAGATAAAAACCTGAATCATACTTCTACTTCAGATGTACGCTGTAGGTTTGAGTAGCCTTGTAACCACACGTCACCACGATGTGATTCAAAGCCCTGTGATTGGACCGCATTTCCTACATGTAAAACATTTCCAGTATCGCTGCCGTTTTCAAAATGTAGCAGGAGGAAGAACGCCACAAGCTGACATAATCATCTGCTGCTCAATATTTCACCTCGTCTGAGCCCTAAATACTAAAATATGACATCACTAAACGTGTGATCGGTGTGTACTGTATGTTGTATCTACAGGTATTACCTGTGTCTCCAGCTGAGAAAGGACATCCTGCAGGGCCGTCTCCCCTGCTCCTTCGTCACTCTGGCCCTGCTGGGATCCTACGCCTTGCAGTCAGAGCTTGGGGAACACGATCCCGAGGTGCATGGCAGCGAGTACGCTAAAGAGCTGAAGATGGCCCAGGGTCAGACGAAGGAGCTGGAGGACAAGATGATGGAGCTGCACCAGACGTACAGGTGAGAGCAGCATCTGCAGGTGTGTTAAATAATCATGTGATAAGAGTTTAGGATTAGGGTGGGTGGGTTTATGTCTGGAAGAAAGGACAGACGAGCACAACTGAACACCCTCTCCTTTTTATTTATTATCTGTTCCAACACTAAATCTTAACCGGACTGTGCAGCACTCTATAATAAATCAACTGTACAATCAGTCTGTTAAAGGAGAAATATGTAACTCTGACCCCTAGTGTTTAAAATGGGAACTGCATCCAAATTCTAAACTTTGGAGATAGCTGTCTCCCCCCGCCCCCTCCTCTCAAGAGTCGATTCTCACGCAGGAGCCTGGAAAACCTTTCTGCGTTCTAACCTCTCTCCATTTTTCAAAAGCATCTCCAATGTTGATCCTAGTTTGAGCACGTTTCTGCTCGTGGAGCTTATTAGAAACATGCAGAGGCTTTTTAGGTCGGGGACAATCACTTCACAGCTGGACAACCAGTTCCCTTGCCCTCTTCCATCACTGCAACACCTGTTGGTTTGACCTGATAACTGATCTCATATCTGGCAAACCGAGGGGCGTCCAAAACGGCCATGTTGGGGTGCCTTAAAACCGCCGACCTTCTCTGGTCCAAACAAATCCAGAGCATTCAGGAGCAGAATCTAAAGTTAGAAGGAGGACATACTGGCTGCTGCATTGTTGTCAAGAAGCCAGCACTTCAACATAACATGTTTCCTTAATGTCTGATCATATAGTAAGATCACTTTATCATTTCAGTCACTACACATCTTACTGATTGATTCTTTAAAATGACCTTATACTATTTATTTTAAAAATGTTCCTGCTGAAGCTTTATTTAAACATTTGTGGCATTTATATTTGAATCACATCACAACTCATTTCTCAGCATGTTATCTTTCTTGGGTTTCCACATACCTTTTGGACATATAGCTTTAGTTCTGATTTATTTGTAGTGCACGTATTGATAAAGTTTGGGTTTTTGTGTCAGGGCAATGAGTCCGGCTCAGGCGGACATGATGTTTCTGGAGAATGCCAAGAAGCTGTCCATGTACGGAGTCGACCTGCACCAGGCCAAGGTGAGAACAGCGGTCAAAAATCATCCTCTTTTTCATGAAGACATTAGAACACTCTGACTGTGGGTAGAAGTGTGATGCAGCCTTCAGTCCAACCATAACTGGCGTAAAACAGAATACAAAACACACACTGTGTGTGTTTGCAGCTGTTTGTTTTCTTGAAACATCCCGGCAGCGTGCAGATCAGAACAACAGCACGACATGTGACCGTCAGCTTTTACAGCAGAAATCAGGTCAATCTGTTTGCATCAGAGCTGGATTTAATCTCATATAGAGAGGGACCTTTATGTGCCTACACTGCCCCCCTGTGGAGGTTGGTGAGCATTACAAGGAGAGTAAACTAGAGTGCGCACATCCAGGCACAATGCATACAGGAGCAGGACAAGAAATGTACTTACTGCAGAAAAAAAGAGAACAGCCTGCACACTTATCAGATACCAAAGGCAAGTGTATGTAGACAGGGCAACGTTTCCATCTTCAAGATCAAGGCTTGAGGAAGATCTTGACCTTCTGGCACTTCCAGACTCCTTCTCGACTGTTCATCCATCTTCCTCCTGTAGCTGCATTTCCCCTCCCTGATCTTCCTCCTCAGCTATCTCTGCACAGTCTTCATCTATGGATGGATGGATAGATAGATATGTACTGTATTACTTACATGTACAGGAGGAAAGAGGTTGTAGTAGCATTACTACACTCCTACCGCCCACTATACTCTGATCCAACCTTCACAACATGGCCCTATGTCTCTAGCTAGACTCTTTATAAACACTTAATACTTACAGACAGAGGGAGTTTTTTAAGGTACAGGAGCCTGGATGTGCCAATCCAGAGGAAATGCGATCAAACTTCTCTATGGTAAACTGGTACTGTTATTCTGTACATGTGGTCCTCACATGCTGTGAACCGTCCTCTGCGTCTCAGGATCTGGACGGTGTGGACATCATGCTGGGCGTCTGCTCCAGCGGTCTGATGGTCTACAAAGACAAGCTGAGGATCAATCGTTTCCCCTGGCCCAAAGTCCTCAAGGTGTCCTACAAACGCAGCAGCTTCTTCATCAAGATCCGACCGTCTGAGGTACGACATTTTTAAATCGACAAATATTCATTCACAATGTTTGATAAGCCCCGTAGTTTTATCCTGCCTTGTACTCACATCCTCCTCGCTTCCTGTCTGATCGGGAAATAAACGATCTAACATAAAAAACATGCAGTAAAAAACGGAGCAGTGTCGATCATACAGTGGGCGTTGTCAAATGACTGTTGTCATAGAGACAGGACGGACATGCAGCCCTTTTATTCTCGGTGCACAAACGCTGCATGCAAGCGAAAGCACAGCTAGCGCGTTTCTGCCTGGAAAAAACTTGTTTTTCAGCAGGTTTGTGTTTGTCGTTCGAACAGGTGGAACAGTATGAGAGCGCCATCGGCTTCAAACTGCCGAACTACAAGGCCGCCAAGAAGCTGTGGAAAGTGTGTGTGGAGCATCACACCTTCTTCAGGTACCGTGATGTTTGTCAGGTCTGTGCGGCAGAGTTTGTTTTCTGTCAGTCAGATTAGAAGGTCAGTATTTGTGTCTGTGTGTGTGTGCAGACTGACGTCCACAGAGATGGCCACCACTCCCAGGAAGTTCCTGGCGTTGGGCTCCAAGTTTCGTTACAGCGGTCGGACTCAGGCTCAGACCAGACAGGCGAGCTCTCTGATCGACAGACCGGCTCCTCTGTTCCAGCGCACCTCCAGCAAGAGGAACTCCCGCAGCCTGGACGGAGGTACACTATTCCTCTTTGCGTGTTTAGGTTTTTGTTTTCACACGCCTCCACCTGAGTGTTTCTGTCACTAGTCTGGAATTTACAGATTCATGCGAGTACACTTTAAAACAGCCTATCAGCATGCAGATTCTCCTCATGTCCTGAGGATGCTTCAGCTTAGGTCAAACCAAACTCCATTCTAAAACTGGCATGTTTTCTCATAGTCATGCAGAGAGATCTGACAAATCCTATATTTAAACTTTATACTGTTTATCATCATTAAATCACAGTACATATCTGTGTGTTTTGGGTTCACAGCGCTGTGGTTAGACAGATTTCGGCGGAGGTTCGTCTTGTTAGTTACAGTGAAACTGTTGCTCAGTGGAGACAGATGGACAGGAGCTCCACAGCTGAAACTGAACGCAGGTAGTTGGTGTCAATGAGAGAAATCCAGCTGCTGATCCGAGCTGAAAGGTCGTCACACTTGGACCTGGTCAGCCTCACGTAGCTAGAAGCATCAGGAGAGTTCATCATAGAGAAGGAGGGGAGATTTACCCAGCTGTGAGAGAGTACACATAATGTGTTGATAACTGGTCTCATATCTGGCAAACCGAGGGGCATCCAAAACAGATTTATTTAAACACATACATTTGGTCTTTATTCTAAACACACTGAGTATTATGACATACATTTCATTCTTGTTTTATTGAGTTTTTTCATTGGTCATATTTATTTTATCATGCACAAAATTGAGAGTAAAAACAAACAAGTATTTATTTATTTTCAGGTGATGCTTTATTTATGTTGGACCGAGAAATATGCAAATGCAGAGTGAAGCTTGAAGGTCTCGGTTTTTTTGCCTCCTGCTGTGGATGATGCTGGGCTAATCCAGACAAGGAAAGCCAATGTTTGCCATGTCTGGGTATGTCTTCTCAGTAGGCGGAGGATTTGGGAGCAACAGATCCTACTGAGACATTGGCTTTAGAAGCTTGGGAAGAATTTCCTGATCTGATAACAGACCTCTTCTTTTCAAACATGAGGACTTTGCCTCATGAATGTTTACAGTTTGGAGGCATGGATGTTCTGTTTCAGTGGGGTCATCAAGAGAAGGAAACCCAATATTCTTCATATTTGGGTACTTCTTCTCATCGGACCCCATGTCCAGTACGATGGCAGCAAGTGAAGCTTGTGGATCCTCCTGTAGCATTAGCTTGCAGACTTTTCGAGGGATTTCATAATCTGCAAAAGGAAACCCTCTTCTCTTTAGAGATGTCTCATGGAGGTCCACCAAAAACCCAGTGTTTTTTACATCTGGGTGTTCTCTCTCATCCAGCACGTCAGCTGTAGGTGGAGGACTCTGAGGCAGAGGAATGTCCGCCAGATCCCCTAGTGGCATCAGTTCATGGTCTTCATTTTCTAAAGCCGGAAACAGGCACGGCAGATTAAAGTCCTCAATCAGAAGTTCATCTGTTTCATAGAGATCTGGAGCAGAAGATGAAGGACTTGGAGGCCTGTCCCTAAGAGTCAGGGACAACAAATCCTTCACTATGTCATCCAAGGCCAGAAACCCAGTCATGTTCTTCTTTGTGGTTTCGATATCCAGCTTATCAGGAAGAGGACTTGGAGGAAGAGGAATCCCCTGAGCCCTCCTGTAAAGATACTCGGACATAAAATCCTCAAGTTGGTCATTCAGAGAGGGGAACTCAAGACATGTTACATCAGGGAACATGTTCTCCCTGGCATAAGCAATTTCCTTCTCGTCTTCACTGGGCAGAGGGATCTCTGCTAGCACACTGAGAGCATCAGACCAGGACTGTCTTCTTGAGCTGGAAAAATGCAAGGCACAGCTGAGTGCATGCTCAAAAAAGTGTCTCTTGCATCGCCAACTTCTTCCCCCACAGGCTGAGCCCCGGCAGACATCTGTGCGCCCTGCTCCTCAGTCGTTGGAGATGGCAGATTTGATGGCCAGACAACCTCTGAAGGGCTGAGATCCAGCTGAGGTTCAGGGGTCTCTGGCAGTGGCCCCTCCTCAGGTAGGAAGTACATGAGGTGGAAATACTTCATTGGTGCAGCTGTCAGTTCGGCTGCCTTTTGAAGGCTTCGCTTCAAAATGTTGTCCAACAGTAGAACCATGTTGGCTTCAGGACCGACAGATGTTTTAATGCAGCTCTCTTGAGTTGAATTATCTGGGTATTGTCAAATGATCGATGCTAACTGTATTTCTCTCAAGTGCTCTCAAAGGTATTCTCAGGGGTAATGATCTTCAGATGGGAGATCGAGGCTTACTAACTGTGTGTCAGAACGCTCTGTTGTCACAATGCCCGGTTCTGGAACCCCAAACACTTTGGTGGAATGTTTTTCTTTAAACCAAAACTTTATTCAACATTCACATTCAATCCATCACTAGAACATAATAATGCTCTGTAATCATAACTCTGCATGTTTTATTGTGTAAATCAAGTTACATTAAGTACAAGATACACATAGTACGTGGCGGCTTCAGCAAGATTAAAGCCAGTCCACTAACGCTACCTTTACAACACCAAACCTGTGTGACCACAAGTGTAGTAGGGCTGCTTGATTATGGTCATCATTTATTTTTAAAGATGTTTTGTTGGGCTTTTTATGCCTTTATTGGAGAGATAGTAAAGTGGATAGAGTCAGAAATCTAGGGGGGAAAGTGGGGAATGGCATGCGGGAAAGGAGCCACAGGTCGGATTCTAACCCTGCTTAGAGGACCACAGCCTCCGTATATGGGAGGAACGCACAAACCACTAGGCTCCCGGCATCGCCAATCCTAATTCTTTTGATTGCTTTGAGTTAAGGTATTATTAAAGACGATTTCTTCACTGGTTTTATAACAACTGCATCACATGCATTCATCAAACTTAAACACTCTGAACACTTTGAAACACAATCAATATGTGAGAATAAATTAAATAAAAATATACCAATAATAAATAAACCTTTAAGAAAAAGCTAAAGACCCAGCTCTTTCATGAATATCTACGACCTTAATGATGACGATGACGATGGTTTTGTTTGACAACGACGATTGTTAAGATGGTTCCTATACTGATTAAGCTCTCAAGAACAGCTGTCAATCTTGTGCTCTGCCTCTGGTCACTTCCTGTCAGCACCTGTGTGTCTGATCAGACTTGAAGCTGATCGTTTGCACTTCCTGACGTTGTTTCCTCTTCTTGATCCTTGCTTGTGTTGTTCTTACTCTCTGATGTACGTCACTTTGGATAAAAGCGTTTATCCAAAAACGTAGAATTGTAAATACATGCAAATAAACAAACTGTTTTTGAGTGGTGATGGACCAACAAACACTTTGAAACATTTACCACACGACAAAACCTTTGGACAAAACGAGCAACACGGCATGCAGCACGTTTATCGTTTAATCTTGATCTTGTTTATTCATGATCTTTGGAAGAAAAAAATCACAATTTAAATTGAAACTTGAATTGCTCAGGGCTATACTGTAGTATTATAATTATATTATTATTATTAATAGGTATTATATTAAAACTGTTCCAGAGCAGCATTAAGTTAAAGTGAGAGTGAGGAAACAGAAACTTTGCAGTGTCTGATTGAAACTTTTATATATTTTAAAGTACTTTATGAAGTATTCAGTTATTTCCAACTTAATAGGATCCCCCCCACCCCAGGACCCAGCATGAATAAACTTTATTATGAAACTAAATCTAATGAGAGCATCAGACAGAAACGATCAGGCAGAAGATGCTTTAAAAGGAGTTGAACATGTAAAATCTGAATTTATCGGTTTTAATCTTTAAATAACATTAAAGTTTGTATGAGAAGTTTCCACTCAATCTTCAGACACATGCAGAGTTTTTCTGTGTGCTTCTGTTCTGTGTGTCTTCTCTTCTTGTGTTTGATAAATGACTCCATTGTCTCCTCAGCCATGGCGTCCACCCCCGACAATAAGTCCACTCGTCCGGTCAGCGCTCCTGTGATGTCACCAGTGTCTCCCGGGGAGGCGACCCCATCCCCGCTGCTCAGCGCCCTGCGCCGCTCCGACCACCGTGACGGCTCCGCCCTCAGAGGACCCCGCTGTGCAATCAGGAAGTCGGCCAAGAAGGCGGAGAGTCAGCCGACTGAGCACAGCAAGAGCCAGAGTCCGCGACCAGAGAACACTCCAGACATCAAGGTACACATCTCCATCTTTACGTCGGTGCATGCGCTCTTTTATCGGGTCGGTGTTGAACATGAAAAGTCGATGACGCTCCTTTTATCAGATATCAAAGAACTGATTGTAGTTGAAGGACATGACCTCATTGGAGTGTCAGGACTAATGGATCAGAAGTTTAAAGATATAAAGTCTGATGAAATGTTTCACATGCAACAAGTGAATCATGAAAAGTCTGATTATTTCATGACCCTTGTCAAGACTAATTATCCTCCTTTTCTGCAGGGAAAAGCTACTAATCAATCAACATGTTGTTCAATCTGCTTTGTTCCTTCAGTTTCAAAATGTTGAAAGATTGTTTAGTTTTTAAAAGACTTTTGTTCATGAGAAGTGTCATCAGGGCAAACAGTGGACCAAAGGGACATTCATATTTGTTCAGCTAATGAAAACAGAATCGTTTCATTTGAGGTTCAGTTCTGGTTCAATGACGCGTGTGTGTGTGTGTTCCTGGTTTATATCTTGATGTCTGTGTGTGAGTTTGAGAGTGTGTGGGTGTGTGTGGTTGTGTGTGTGTGGTTGTTCCTGGGCCCGTATCCACATACATTCTGAGAATATTTTCAGAGAGCACCTAACTTCCTAGCATTATAACCCAATGCTAGAATATCCTAGCATTAAGGCCTTGCTTGGTTGTGATGTAGGAACACGTTCAAAGCCGCTCTGAACGAGGACGGGACAGAAACTTTAATCTCAGCAAGGAGGCGGAGTTTACGCCGTCTGTGCTCCTTTTGTTGTGTGCCATTCCTTCCTTACTAGTTAGTCATTTCGATACTAAGGTGAGGCTGTGAAAGAGCTAGAACTGTTCGTGTGATCGCCTATCTTTGCATCTTTCCACCATTTTCTCCTCAGCTTGAGAAACTCAAAGCCCTCCTCACTACTCTGACCAGTTAGGAACCTGAGGAGCTCTCTGAAAGGCGCTATCTGCCTTTCATAATGTTCATCTTTACCTCGATGAAGTCTTAACCTTTGAGGGAAATTTATAAAACGTGACGATTCTCAGAATTGTACTTAGGAAGCTTTGTGAATACTGCCCCTGATTTATATCTTGGTGTCTAAGAGTGTGTGAATTTCTGTGTGTGTGTGTGTGGTTGTTCCTGGTTAAAACTTTGGTGACGTGTAAGTCTGTGTGTGCCATCAGACCGTGGCGAGGAGAGAGCGAAGGCACTCGCCCTCTGTGACCACGGCCAACGGGGAGAGAGAGAGAAAGAGCCAGGTTTGTTTGTGATGCATGTTCAGACTGGAAACAGACAGCTGCATGTTTTTTTAAGGGAAATATTGAACTGGATGTGGAGGTTTAATAGAAGTAAATAATCATGTGTTTTTGCAGGTTTGATTGAGATGTTGAAGTTGTATATTCAAACAGATATCAGGGGAAGAGTAACGCATGTGTTTTTATTTCACTGTGTTCTAAACGGCTTGTTGCACACTGAGCTGTAACATGCAGTAACTGTGTCTCTCCTCTGCTGGGGTCCGGGGGGGGGGCAGCACTCTCCTCAGGACAAAACAAAGATGGAGGTGATACGAGTGAGGAAGGTTAGCATGCTCTGAGCTCGTCTCACATCCTCATCCCTGCATCGGTCACACATGAAGACGCCTGATTTTATCTCTGTTGTCTCACATTCTCCATCACAGAGACACAAGGGGGCGCTATAACCTCTGGATTCTTTTATGATTTCTGGCTGTCTGTTATTCTGTGATGGGCTTGAACGCATCATGTCAGCTGCACATCAACTTGTTACTCGAGCATTAAGACATCGATCGGTTCTGATCTCAGCTGACGAGTCACAAAGTCAAATCCACCTTATGACCTCAATCACTGACCTTACAAACCATGTCCTTTACCGTCTTTAACTTTTGGATCCCGAGAAAGCTCCTTCTTCTGTGGTTAAGTTTAAGTCGTAACTTTCGACTGAAATGAGCTCCCTCATTTTCTTTTAAAATAGAAGCAGGTTTTTATCCAAACAGGAAGTAAATTGACTAAGCTTAAGATGGTTTTTTAAAATGCAAAATAATGAAAATATGAATGAATGAATAATGAAAATAATAATTCAAATTAATAATCTGTCTGCAGATTTCTCAACAGGATGTAGTAATTATCAGATAATCTTTCTTTACAGTCGCGACGGTCAAATTGAAACCATGATTGAAAAAGTTTAAACTTCTGTAGTGACAGCAGAATACGGTTTCTCCTCCTGCACACGCCTCTGCACCGCTGCAGCTTCTGCATGAACAGCATGAAACTCAGCTCACAGCACTGAGTGTGTGTCTGCCTCTCCTCTCACTCACACACACACACACACACACACACGCAGCACTGTAATGTGTGTGTGTGTGTGTGTGCACCTGTCACCTGCTGAGGCACACACTGAGACCTGTAACCCACAGCTCCACAGCTTTTTATTTTCTTCTGATCCATGCCACCGCCTCGGTCAGCGCTGCTTGCGGACTTCATTACAAATCAAATATTAAAAATGTTTGAGTGAATTATTTCCAACCAGGTGTTCCCTTTTTTCTACAGAAAAGAGCAAAGAAACTTGAGGGGGAAACGATTTATATCAGACATAGCAATTTAATGTTGGAGGTTTGTATATGCTCGTCTTCAGTTTTCTGCTCTGGCTGTTGGTCGTCTCGTTCTTCTCTCTCTGCATGAATGTTTCTTTCTTTTTGCTTTTTGCTTTGACGTCTCTGTTTCTCTTCATCTCTCGCATTGTTTCCAGCTGAACCCTAACGGCTTGGCATGCACTATTTTCCTCTCTGACACTCATGCAAGTAGCTTCACTAACTTTTCATGGTCTCTTATCTTTTCATAACTTCATTTGTGAGATATGACTGGGAAAGCTTTATTTGAACACAAGTCTGAGAAATGAGCTCTGGTGTCTTTGAGTGGACTTATATAACTGTTTTTTTTCTTCAGTGCCGAGGTCAACTCATAAACTACAACATATTTTTATCCTACAGTATATTGAAAATGTTCTCTATGTCTAAAAGCTCCTGTGAGGAGTTTTTAAGTGGTTAAGAATCAGATCTAAAATAATAGTGATGCCCCTTTGTGACTAGATGGACTATTTCCACCACTGTATGTTATTTCTCAGCTGACACCCAGTGGCAGAGCTGAGAGGATTGACAGCATGCTGAAAAAGCCTAAAGATTCCCAATGAGGGATACATTTTATTTAAAGGTCACATATTAAAAGTTTAAATAAATCTCAGAGCTCCCCAAAACATGCGTGTGAAGTTTCTTGAAATCCACTCTGATCCTGTATTTGATCATGTCTATAAACCCCTCTGTTTCAGCCCTGCTCAGAACAGGCTGTTTCTGTGTCTGTACCTTTAATTGTAAACGAGCTGTGTCTGACCACGCCCCTCTCTGGAAGGGCTTGGGTGTACTTGGGCTTTCTCGCTCCATGTCATATTGTTTACAGTGAGAAGGCAGACTCAGAGGGCAGAACAAACACCTAGCCGTAGGAGTGTCACCCACCTGGAGGAGGGGTTACTGCCCTTTGTGATGTCATGAAGGGAAAATCTCCAAACGGCCTGTTTGAGCACACATTTTCAGAAAAGTGGAGCAGGTTAAAAGAGGGGAGAGGATGGACTTTTCTCATCACTGGAGGGTTTGTAGACAGACTAGAGACACTTATTAGTGTTAGAGGAACATGGTGAAGTGTGTTTTACATAATATGTGACCTTTAATAAAATAAAATGAAACAACATAAATTATGTTGACCGGTACAACACCAAAAGAACACAACAACAGTGGGAATAAAAAGCAGGTGTTAGTTAAAATATAATAAAAGACTGTACTGGAAATAAACTGTTGTGAATCAAACCATAAACATGGCGACGTGATGCATACAGTTAAAAGTCAAAGTGTTGTCAGACTTTAACAGCACTCACAGCGAACTACTTTAAAGTAACCAGCTGTTGCATTTAGCACAGTTTCAGTGTCTTCATAGATGGAGCAGCCATCTTTAATCCACATATGTCCACCATTCTTAAGTCATCTGCAGCGAGAAATATGTCAACAGGGAGAAAATGAAGCAGTAAAATAACATCTTTGTTCTTTCCCAGTCATGTCTGTCTCAATCACGTCTCTCACACATTGTGCACAGTACTGTTGTTTCTCTCTGGTCTCCATGGTTACTGAGGACTTCCTGTTTATTTTCATTTGAATAATTCCAACACATGGATGTAACCCCCTGTGATTGGTAGTGTTTTCTTTGACTCTGACCTTCTGTTTAACACTCACATTAACCCCATTATGTGATTCCAGTGAAGAGAGGGAGGCATGTTACATTACTAAACTCATGCTGCTGAATTTCCCCTTTAAGGCTGCGATAATATTTTACTCTTCATGACCCCTCATGGTGATAAACACACCGAGGATTTTTGGCAATCTGTCCAACTTTACAGTTTAGTCTCGTGTTTTTTAACAGCCAAACATCCTCTTGGTTAAATCTCAGTCTGCTAACAATGTGACATGTCATCCTCTACTTCCTGTGTTTGCGTCTCTGATTCAGCCCCCTGCCTTGTATTCAGCCTGCAGATCACCTTTAATATAGACATTAATACATGCAGTACTTGTCGGCCATGATTTAATTTCCCCCCCATGTGCAGTTTTTCCCTTCTGGAGTTTAAACATTTAGCAATATTAACCATTAACTCCATTAGGAGAGATGGTTGGTAAAACCATTAAGTCAAGTTTTCATTGGTTTGTCTAGCGTGGAAAAATGAGCTTCTTCTGGAAATGTTTGGCCCATAGCTTAGCTTTCATCTGCGTCTAACATAAGGACTCCATACTAAAATAATTACTTTTCAGCTGTTTGATTTCAAAGGAAGGCGTAAAAGGTGGTTATAATTCAATGAGGAAAAATTCAAGTCTACTCTGAGGGCATGATTCACTAAAAGACTGCACAGCTTTTGGGCTCGCTAAACCTGCGCAAATGAGTCAAAGAGACAAAATCACAAAACACACCCAAAGGGTTAAACCAGCCATTTTGTAGTAATTTGGTGGGGGAAATGTCCCCTTTTTATGCAAATCAGCTTCACTGCAAAAAGTGTCTAATTAGGGAAACATCAATGTGAATGAAGAACAGGCTGTCTGAACATGTACGGCTCCACCTATATCAATTCAATTCAAAAGACTTTATTTGTCCCCGGGGGGGCAATTCAAAAAAATATTATACAAATTAAACATAGTTTCCTAAAAGAGTTTGTAGCTTTAAGGTCCTGAACACAGCAGAGGAATAAATGTGCATCACAAATTTTATTGATGAATACATTTGGAGCTCACCTCTTTTTTTCCTGCATACACTGTCTTTGTGCTGCACGGAAACCCCCATGAGGTTTCAGACTTGACTCACTTTCATTGGTCTGGATCAGTCAGAAACACAAAGCAGTGAGCTTGTGCCTTAGTGCCACCTATCAGGAGTCATCATCAGTACATCAGCAGCTTTATTTTCTGTTATCAGCGTGCACGAGACGGGAGATTAAAAATGGCTGTTAACTTAAAATCTCAATGAAACATAAAGAACAAATAACAAGTGAGTTCAGGCTGATTTCCAATGTGTTGGAATGATATTAATGACCTCAGAATAACAGAGAAAACACGCAGGCTCAATACAAGTGCACACTTTATAAACATTCATTTTAGTATATTCTATATTCTTTTCCCTTTTAGTTTCTTGTCTTGTCCCTCTGTCCCTTCTGTCCACCTGGTCTGACTGTTACCTTCCTGTTGAAGGACCTGGATAAGACCCAGACTGAGATCATGCGTCACCACACGAGCATCAGCGAGCTGAAGAGGAGCTTCATGGAGTCGGTACCCGAGCCTCGGCCCAGCGAGTGGGACAAACGTCTCTCCACTAACTCACCTTTCCGCACAGCGAGCATCAACGGCCAGCTGCAGCCAGCGGTGAGTTCCAACACGCTGAAGCAGATATTCTTTAGAAGAGATAGTCTCATTCACAGAGTCACATCATCCACATAGAAACGAAGTGTGTTGTATTTGTTTTGCTATGTAGCTATGCCAACAGCTTTCCCCTGCTCCCAGGCTTGTGCTCAGCTCAGCTAATCACATCCCTCCTCTTTCTTTAAACTGGAAACGTGGAAACAGAAGAGATGTCATTTTGCTCACGTGACTCTCAGTAAAACAGACTGTTCCTTTAAACAGGGGCGTGTCCAAAACGGTGGCATTGGCCCCCCTTGAAATCTAATTGGTCACCACAAAATCCTGAACTATAAATGGCTATTTTCACAGGTGTCAGAATCAACTATTCAGGCTGTGTGTAGCTTTCTTTACATATCAGTGGATGTAGCAGATTAACGCTTGGAGACTGTTCCCAAAAAGTGACCTGAAGCATTTTAAGCGGTATTTTTATGACTTGTTCATCTCAATGATAGCTGCTGGGACAAAGCAAATTTTGGTATCTCTTGATTTTACAGGAAGTGTTAAGTCGAGATCAAACAAACTTCTCCTGATATTACGGTTAAATGGAGCAAAATAAAATGTAGGGATTTTTGTCCGTTTAGGGTTTCTATAAAAAAGTAGAAAAATTAGGTACTTATGTGCACATCACGTAGGTGCAGGGCCGTGCAAAATCATCAAACTGAGGAAGAAGATAGGGCCGCACTTTGCTTAAATGTCACAAAAAGCTTCGACCAGAGGTCAGGTGATCATTTTTTGTGGTGGAAACGTTGTGATGTAATTTGAGCAAAGTGTGCGGGACTATCTTCTTCTTTAGTCTGCTGTAAAAAAGTAACCAATAAAAAAAAAGAAAGATATTATTCATAATACTTTATAGACTTAAACTGTTAATAATATTATGCATCTACCAGGTCATTTTAGTTGACCCTGTCTTGTATGGTTAGTGATCAGGTTTTACCCTTTCACCTGTAATGTTCATATCTCAAATTTGGAGAAATACTTTGGGTAAAGACACATATTTGTAACGCTTTTATCTAAAAAGAATTTGTCCAGTATAGCTTATGATACGCTGATCGTCCACTGGGTGGTGCTGTTGGCTTTCTCCATTTCATTTCACTGCTTCAGCATGACTGTAGCTGCAGTCACAGAGGGGCTTGACGCTTCAGGATGTTTTTTCATGTTTGCTGATGTGAGGAGGAATGTGTGTGTGTGTGTGTGTGTGTGTGTGTGTGTGTGTGTGTGTGTGTGTGTGTGTGTGTGTGTGCGCGCGTGCAGGGGAGGAGGTCCACTGTTGTACCTGCATATAAACTAGTTGGTGGCGTTTCTGAGGTAAAGGTATTTTCTCGTCTGGAGCTCTTTGACACAGGCTGCAGCAGGTTTAACACTGACCAGTTTCTTTATAAAGAAAGAGAATGGCACCTGGAGGCTGTGGCCGTGTTCGATCAATAACAAGCAGCTCTCACCAGACTGTGCTCGGCTGCAAGCTCAAGGGTTCAGTATGCTTCAAACCAGCTAATTCATTAACAAAAAAACGTTGCTTAAACATGTCTATAAAGGCTCAGGTGTACGTGCATCCTCATGAGACACCTGCAGACTGTGATGTGTCGAGGTTGTCACCCTAGCGAGGGGAAAAGATGTGCCTGTCAGCTGCCTTTTTGGAGCCCGGACTTTTGCTTTTTTTGCCAGCAGCATTTAGTTTTCTGAAGCCAGATGTGACCATATTAGGACGAGAGGGTGGAAAGAAAAAAAAGAGGAAAGCAAAGAAAAGGTTCATTAAGCATCGTCTTTCCTGCAGAAGGAGATTCTGTTTTGCCGTGAAAAGTGAGAAGAGTCGCTTAGTGAGCTAGAGAAACACAGAAGACGTCTGCTCAACTGCCAACATGTCCTTAGGGATAGCAAGAGGCAGGTGATTGACGTGTACTGGGTAACTAAAGAAGCTGTTTTCTCACTTTACTGCCGGCTGTTTTTCTGTGAGGCGAAAATCCTGTCTCCCACACTTGGGCCACCACAAATAAATGAATATATGACATCACTGAAAAGATAACAAGCCAGCTATGGTGACCACACACAGATAGCTGTGCAAACATGTAAATCTTTTTTTTTTTATTAAGTGTAAAAATGGGAGCTCAGACTTGTTGGATGGTCTGTTTGTACCATTAAGTTCAGTGACTGAATTAGCTGAACGGACACCTAACAGACAGCTAGCAGCTCCTACTTGTCACTCAAAGAGGCCACACCCCTAATTATGCATAAATCTACACATTGATAGAATTAAAATAAGTGATTTGCATATAAAACAGGCTGTACGTTATGTTTATTTTTTGCTGTAAATTTGGACATTTTAACATGGGGCTCTATGGGGATTGACTCACGTTTGGAGACAGCCTCAAGTGGACACTCAAGGAACTGCATTTTTTTTTTTCGTTTTTACATTTACTGTTAACGTTCAGGAGTTCAGTGTGGTATATGGCGATTTAGATTCTGCATACTCTCTCATCTCTTATCAGTTGTCCAATCACTTTTAGAGGTGGGCGTTGCTGATCATATAGGGGGAGGGGTTTCAGCACTGTTTCGTGATCTTACAATCACTTACCGGTACTTTGAAGCATACTGGCACCTTTATAGGCTGGATCCCACCCCCTTTAACCCCGCCCCCTCTTACCCCTGCCTTCACTCTACGATTGGCTGCCGCAGCTTTGACATCCTGCTTGATCTGCCAATCAATCGCATGGCTGGGTTAATCCTGATGATGCATGACTCTTTTGCCTGGTGTGATGAGTGAAAGACTGAAAAAGGAAAACAAGCTAAAGACTAATGATTCGTAGCCAGAGGACTGACCTCCCCCCTCCTTCCCCTTCTTCATTTGTCTCACCCTCCTCCCCCCTTGTATCCGTCCCCCTCTGGATGTCTTTATGTGCCTTTCTTTGTCTTAAATCTCTGCCCCTTCAGTCTTTGTCTCCTTTCCATTCCCCTTCAAACTCTGGGCTTGTTTCCCGAGCAGCTCCCTCCTCCCTCCCCTCTCCCACCCTCACCCTCCACCCTCCAGTCCCACATGTTCAGAAAATGACGCTGAAGGTCACAGAGGATGTCAGTACTCCGACCTGCCCCTGTTTCCCTGTGGCTCTCGGCTCCCCCCAACCCTAAACTTTAAAGACACAGTTTCTCAATCAGACGTGAAATCCTGCACTGGAATCATATTTTCCCTTTTTTTATACTCAATAATCCAGTCGTAGTGTCACTTTTTTGCTGAGAGCCTGAGGCACAATTCTAGCAATTTCATATTATTGCTGAATGCTATAAAATTATGATGACACATAGTATGAAAAAAAATAGAAATAGTGTGTGTTGCATCACCTTCCTGCAGGTCCCTGAGCAGAGTCTTACAGGCTGAACACATATCCTGCCTAGTGTGCAATAAAACATCCCCATCACCTTTATTTAGCGCAGAATTATCACAAATACGGTTTCATGGCAAGCTCCTCTACAAAGTGTCTGTCATCAGAGATGCCAGTACTACACTGTAATACTACCATTATAAAGCAGTGCAGATTACACAGGCAGGTTCTGCCAAATCTTCTGCTGTGTCTTCCTTCCTGTTGGCATTTTGAGGACTTTGCACTGCCAAATAGTTTGCACTAGCTAGCGTTTTAGCTGCCAGAGATTGCCTTTCCTATTCCCCCATGGAGCAAAGATTTATTAATCCTCAGAGCACTCCTCTTCCCTCCCTCCCTCCCTCCTTCCTTTCTTTAGACCACTTCACTGTCCCGACCTGCCATCTTTGTAGGAACAACAGAGTCAGCATAACTCCGCTACAGTCACACCTTTATAAAACCTTCATTTCAATATTTAATGCACATTTTATATCATTTAAATTTGTAGCCAATAATACATCTGTCATGGTTCTGTTGTTCTCTACTCGTAGCAGGAACCAATCATGGTCACAATAACTACAGTATCTGTGCCCACCGCAGCTTTACCTGTCTGCACTACCTGTACGCTGCAGATGTTTCATGCACACACATAGATCTTACCACTACATTATTTACATTATGTGTTACCTGTCAGCAATAAAAAAACATAATTAAGGGTTAAAAACTTTAAAGTAAAGTAGTATCTCTGCTAAGCTGCTTTCGCTAGCTGCAGGCACATCTGATTTTCTTTATTGGAGCCTTCTGGTTCAACTGGTCCAATTAATTCAAGCTAAACCCAGTAAGTCAGTGCTAAAATGAAGCATCTAGGCGATCAAAGCCTCAAGTCTCTTTGGGGACTCCTGGATTTTGTAGTTTTTCTCCAGTGGCTTGCTCAAGTTATGAGTTAGGAGAATTGCCTATAGCCTACATGTACAACTCAAATAAGTGTATTTAAAATGTTCTTGCACACCCGCTCATGCTAAATCCCCTGCTGCACCTTGCCTCCAACTCCCCCATCCTCCATGTCCTAACCCCGTGTCCCTCCCCCCAACCTCCTGTCAGTTATCCCACCTGTGTGTTCATTGTTATCTGTCTCTCTTGGTCTGCTGCTGCTGCTGAGCACAGCGAGGGAGGCAGTCACTGTTTGGACACAAGGTAAGAGCTTGTAGTTTGTCCCCAGCACACGGGGGGCCGCGGCTCTACAGACAGGACTGCCTGCTGGAGGAAGAAGAGGATGAGGATGAGGAGGACAGTGATGTTGAATGGGTTGATGAGGGTGAGGAGGAAGAGGAAGAAGAGGAAGAACAAGCTCACGGTCACAGTCTGAAGGTGGCTATAAACGTGCCCGACCAGGGGATGAGTTTGGTTAACCCATGTGAGCTGAATCCAGCCCGGATCAAGGCGTCCCGGATGTCCTTCTTCCTGACGGGGCTGCTGGTGATGGCTCTCACCATGCTGTGGCTGGCTTTCATTTAGAGGACAAATAAACAGGAAGGTTCCTGAACATTAAATCTTGAAAGGTGACCACAACCATCCACAGACTTCCTTATCCAGTGCTGTTTGTACCTTTTCCTTTGA